AAACAAAGAATAGAAGGAACAATTTTTTTACGGACGCATGTATATATATGAAAAAACCTCTTTTTTAAGGGACATCTCGTGGTGGGAAGAGAGCACTACAAGTCGACCCACTCGCACATTAGTGTCGTTTGATTGGCGCCAATATTTAAATTTAGATTAGTACGTTCCAACAATTATAGGTAAATTGCAATTTTTTCTTCTAAAGATATGTTTGGAGGTATTACAAAATGATTATATGTATACAATATACGCATTTTGTCGAGACATGTTCGTACCGTAATCATATATGAATATTAAAACAATTTTAAAAATGGTGTGCACCGGAAGGATTGAGTCAGCTCCCATGAAATTCGTCGCAGCACACTCGAAGCTACAGTGGTCAGCTATGAATAATTATGGAACCATCTGTTTGTAACAATATAATGCTCTTTATAGCAGTTGAACAGTAATTCCTGTTTCACGTCAGTTATTATGCAACGCGTCTCATCCAGCACGGCGTACCATTAACTTGCACAGAAATAGCTGGTATATTAACAATGTGTTGGTACATTAACTGTAACGGGGATACAACAGACGTAGAATATCATCTGTAACTTCTGACACAATTAGTTCTACTATACGCTTCTTAGTTATACTATTGTATAACGATCCTTAGAAAGAATCAGATTTAAAACAATTCAGATAATATGCACAGAAATTGCCTGTACAATTTTGAAAGGAGTATAAATATAGAGCTGAAAAAATATAATAAATGTCAATATTTTCTTATGTTTATCAAAAAAAGAATTCTATTTTTTATCACACTTTTTTATTTTTACCATGTGAATTTTATATAAATATTTCTATTTAACAATGATTGTCAGTAATGAACATTGTGCTTGCAAAATCTTCCAGAATGTCTAATGTTGGACAAAAATTTTATTATCCATCAGTTAGAGAGTGAAAACAAATTTTTAAATTAAAATATTCAAATTAAATTAAAATTGTGGTAAAAAATAACGCCTGGTGGAAAACGCAATACTCAATTTTTTAATGTACAGAAATGATTTTTCAAGCAACAAGTAATTAAAATCCAAATATGCATTTTTAATTCAAAGTAGCGATCTAGTACTTGTTCAGAAAAAATTACACTAAATTTGCATATAATGAAAAGGAACAAAAAAAAAAAGAAATACGTCCTTAGCCATTATAAATTTATGTAATTCTATACAGAATTTTTCAGAATCAATTTTCTCGAGTTTCTTTAAAAAATGTCCCGTATTATTTTTTAAATGATCCCTATGTGCAGCAAGTGTTTTTTTAGGTTCATGGACTTAAAAGGGGCCTCTTTGTTAGACGCATTGCACTCAACCGTAAGTAAAGAAGTTTCCATAACCAAGGTAAAAATTAGCGATTTTTTTATTGCCACACCCGGCACTTCTGGAGTGGCGCCCCGGGCGGTTTTTCGGTTGGAGTCGGCCCTGAAACCATGTTCGTATTTCCATTGTCGATCAACTGCGAAAAAGAACGCCACGGTCCTCGTCGCAGTTTTTTCTGTAACGCGAATTCGCTGCTATTCTATGAGATTCTTCCTCGAGAAGACAAAAAACGGAAGGAAGAAACGGTCGCCTTGTCGTGAATCGATTCTCGACAGCTTTTTTCCATGGCGACCTTTTTATGATTTTTCAGAATACCAGCAAGCAGTGTTAGAAAGCATGATTAAATGGTTCTGCACTACGAGCTTGAGAAGAAGGTAAATGTCGCAGTGATTAAACGGCTTAAGAAGCAGTTAAAATAATTGTATTTTTTTTATTTTGACACTGTAAAATTATGACCAAATACGTTTATCTTGAGGGTAAAATTTCTATTTTCAGATGAAATTGTAAGAATCTAGATTTGTGAAAGAAAAAATTTTAAATTAATTAAAAGTTGAAATATGCCTCAGACAGTCAACATTTATGAAACGTTTATGTTAATAATTTGTTAATTATTACCGTACGGAATATTTAACATTGATTATATTATTTTAATTTCATTTTTACTGTATTAATTTAAATACTTTCAGGGTTTAATAAAACAAGTCAGAAAAAATTAGAAAGTGTCTCAATAATGGTCTTGTTATCACTAGTGGAGCAACATAGTGTATTTTCAATATTTAAACAGAACTAATAGAAAATATAAGGAGAAGAACATATTATTAAAAAAATGTACTAATAATAAAACGCAAGATGGACAGAACATGACACGCGTTATATGAAAACAGAAGAACAAAAGATAGCTGGATAGAAAATGCCATATGGGGCGGATACTGTGCTGTACTTCATATACAGATTACATACATATACATACATGTACTAGTTCGTAAATCAGTAACAAAATGAAATTAATTTGAATTTGTTGTTTTAAGTGATAAAGAACATTACTATTTAACAAACTACATGAAATTAATTAAATACAACTTCAATAAGACTACTCCCCCGCTTGCTTGAGTTATTATGAAACAAGTTAAAAACATTGAATCTCTTGTAAAAATTGTATAACAAGTACAGATTGTACAATATTCTATACTTCTGCATGATACAAATATTAAATTATAGAAACTTATAATTATACATAAATATTACAGTCACATAGCTTTACAAAATTAATTGTTATTACATTACAAGTTAAAGCGTTCAAAATAAGCAGAATTTTTAGGAACAAAATTCCAATCCAATCGTTAATTACCGGGACTCGTTCGAGCATTAAGACGTTTACCTTCCATTAAATAAGGAATTAGTCGCGAAATGGTTTTCCAACACCAACGAAGTGGCTTTTCAATGCATTCGGAAACCCTTCAGCTGAGGATACCACGCGAAAGTACGTCGACCCGAAGTACAAAGCCAGCGACGATCCATATATCGAGTATGTATCGAATAAACCCTGTATCGATCTATTCGGCGAATACGTGTGCGTCATATCCACTTTCGCGGACAAGCGGTCTGCGACTGCCTCTATGGTCGTAAGTACTTAAGTATCCCGCTATATGTATAACAGTAAGCCATTGATGGATATACGATCCTTTATGCCGATTTATATTAAAGAGTGCCGGTTAATTATTCATTCCATAGGTACAAATGTTCCGTGATTTTTTTTGCACTCATAACGGTCTATTGGCACAAGAAACGAGCGTGTAGTGTATAGTGGAAGAAACGATTCTAATCGAAAATCACTTTTTCACCATTTCTTGTTATTTCATTTATTGGTTTTAGCTCCTAAATCCTTGTAGATCTTTAAATGAATTTAGGTATGAAATTTTTGTTAGTAGAATAATATCAATATCTGATACGAACAATATTGAAACTTACGGTGTTCTGCAATTGTAATATGAACGTATTTTTTAAAAATATCCGTTTTTCGGTTTAGTTAAGTTTATTAGTTTTCTTAATTAGCTTCATTTTGCCAAACAACTATTATATTACATTATACTATACGTATGTAAAATGCTCTTTTTAAATTCTTGTTATATTAACAGAGATAAATAGTTGATTTTCATTATTATTTACATTCAGTTAAATTTCAATACAAAGTGTGTTTGTATTACAACCACCTGAACAGCGAACTCTTGCATTTCATGTATTTTCTACATACTTTCATTTTGTAATAACAAAATTTAATTAATTTGACGACATTTTAAGGCAGACGAACTCAAAGGTAGCCGATTTTTTGTTTCGTACATTTTAGTTTTTGAAATTAGACTTTTCTTGTCTGCTCTCGCCCGTTAAACCTTTTGTTTCGCTTTTTAACTTAGATTTCTCTCTCTACTTCTGTTGTAGTTTTTCTTTCATATTTATTTATTACTTGGAGCAAGCGTAAAGCAAGAGACGGTTACAGGAAAAATATTGTATTTATTTCAGAGAGTAATTCAATACTGAGTAGCGATATATTATTGTATATCACAGCTCCTTTCATGCACACACACACACACACACATACACCTGTGAGCACACGGAGTCTTCCTCTCACAATTAGTCACGTACCCAACAAATCCCTGTAAAATCGAGGTGCAAAGGTTTGTGAACTATTGTTCACTAGAACTTTAAAATTCGCAACACAAACATTAACAATTTGAGCATAAAATAGAGTTTTATATTAGTCGTTTATTTTGAAAATTAAGCATGTTCATTTTTGAAAAAAGTGAAGATAATAACAATAGATAAAACTTTGCTGAGAAGTGCGTTCGAAATTCGCGCCTTTGTCGAAACAGAGACATCTATAAATGTGGGCCTTAGGCACGTACTGTTCTATGCATGACGTCATGAATCTACGTCGCGCGCGGTTTTGCTGTAATGTACTAAAACTCAACAAAATAAATTATTTTTAGTTGAACATATTAGCGTTCAGTTTAATATCGATAATACTGTGAAATTGTGTAATATTGCATAAATAACCTGGATATGAGTGAAGATGTGTTGCAGACCTGTCTAGGTATCATTCCTGATTTCTATTATCTGCTTGCAAGTTCTAGTTCGGTTTCCAATAAATACGCCACAAGTAGACATGGTTCTTGTTTTAGTATCGGAGCACAAAACTGTTTAACAATTTCACCGTTATTTGAACACTGTTGAGATTTTGACATGAACGGCTTCCTTTTTTATTTAACAATTTATTATGCATTTACACTACACGTCTCTGATATTTGCCTTTGAAATTTATTCTAATCGCTAGGCGTTAACCATTGCGGATCAGCAATCGGTTCGTGGGCCGTAAATTATCGAAGATTCCCGAATTGTTCCGATTAGCTTGGATGTGTCCTATTGAAGACAGTTACCCTTTTTTAACATTCTCTTTTAACAAAAATTAATTACAAATTGTGGTTTATTTTATTAAAATAGATAGCTTAGAATGATTTTACTCGAAAATTATAACTTTGTCTTAATTACTATCGATAAATTACATTCTTAGTTTCCCCGCTCCTGTCAAATATGTTACATATTAAATTGAGGTTATTTACGCAATCTGCGAATTATAGATACCTTTTAAAAGAGGATATAAAGTCGTGATTGCTAATAGTGTCGAGTCAGAAGAAAGTTGCAACCATCTCCGTCGCATCCTTCTGAGGGATCGATTGTTCCTTGAGGAGCAGTTCCAAATGGTTTCAACAAGGAATCGTGTTGGTCGGTCACGTTCCCTCGACGAGCAGAATATTATCGGTAAGGAGCGACCGTAACTTCTTTTTTGTCCATTGTCGTTCGACAGCATCAACGACACAGATTCCGATCTCGTTTCAACGAGAATATTATCTAGTCAGTATTGAACGATAGAGTGTCGAAAAAAATAAGTTTAATGTATAGCAGGATCGAAGCAGGATTTTGTAATAAGATCTTGCTGAAGAAAATTGTCGACGAAGTAGAATATTTTATTTTATATTTTATATTGCCATTTTGCTTTTATTTTCATTATTTACATTCATACTTTTCTTGAATCTCTTTGCTGTATGAAATAACCGATTTCGGAATAAGTGTCAGATTTGATGATGTAGATGTACCGTGAAATAATAATTACGGAATATTAGTTTGAAGCTTGAAGCTTGATATCCTTGATATAAAATAATGTCCTCTTTATTATAAAATAACTTTTTTGACGAATTACAAAAAACAATGTCCGATTTCGAAGTAGAAAATCTGACGCAAACTGACGACATCAAAAGATTGAAAAAGTGCTATGTCAAAAGCACAAATTAAAATAAGTGTCTGATTTAAACAAACGTAAAAAATGAAAATAAAAAATGATTTAATAAATATGTTCAAATAAAATGATATATGTATAGTTTTATAACAATGTAAAAATTTAAATGTGTCTAAATCATGTTTCAATTAATATTAAATTAATTCTGACTTTTTAAATTTATTTTAAAAATAAAGGATTTGAGATAAAATCTATTGCACACGACAAAGCAGATTTTACGACAATTAAAGTGTGTAAATAAATATATGTTATAGTATAATATAGAAGGTGGAATTAAGATTTATTATTTATGCAACTTAATGTGTCAGTTCTAATATACAATTTTTACAAACTAAATTCCACTTTATGAGTTTCACTGAGAAGTGACGTAACTTTATTAACTATCTCGGAACTGTGATTAGAGGATACTTAATATTTATCAAGTCATGAAACACGTTCGGGATAGATTGACACGTTCAATCACTGACACAATGATGCCACGTGAAATAATGCCTGAAATTGGAATGTAACATAAAACGAAGGTCATTTTATCAAATCAAAGCTGACCGTCCATTTTCCTATTCGCTTGAATTTCAATCACGTAATAATTTACGATGCGTTTAATCAACGGTGAACTATTCTCCGCTATAATTAGAAAGTACTCGTGAGATACACATTGTAATCAGTTTATATATAATTATAAAGGGTTCGCTTGTAATATAAATTAGAGGCGTGGTTATCGGAACTCTATAAAAGGCAAATACATTTATGGTTGCTAACAAATTAATTGATTTTTCAGTAATGTGTACTTGCTTATGTGTGCAAAATTGTGTGATAAATTTTTGATTTTTAAGACTTACAATTAGATCATTACATGTTTAGATAATCAGTTATTTAGACATTTAGATATATAGCAACAGAGTTATTTAAAAATATAGATATTTTGGCATATTCAGATATTTAGAAATCTAGAAATCTAACAATCTAAAAATTTCTAAATTTGTACAATTAGAAATTTGGAAATTCAGAAATTTCGAGATTTGAATATTTTGCAATCTGGACATTTAGAAATTCCAAAATTCCAAAATTCCAAAATTCCAAAATTCCAAAATTCCAAAATTCCAAATTCCAAAATTTCAAAATTCTAAAATTCTAAAATTCCAAAATTCCAAAATTTCAAAATTTCAAAATTTAGAAATCCAGAAATTTAGAAATTTAGAAATCTCAGAAGTTCACAAATTTACAATATTGAGAATGTTTAAACTGAGAAAGTGATACCCGAATGTACCTCAAAAAGTCCGTCATCTACATGTGCCATCACGTATGCGAATGTTCAGCGCTCACATAAAATTTCCTCGAAATCAATTAATCAATCCCCGCGATATTTCCGGTGAAATTAAAACCGAAGCAATTAAAGTGAAAAACACTTAACTCGGAAAAATGTTTTCGAAAGATCAAGCTGTTATAACCAGCAGTGTGCAGAATTTGTCGAGCGATTTAATGCGATCGTTAAGGAACCGTGTATCTACCAGAGCGTAGTAGAAATTGCCGTTTACCGGTAGGAAATACAGAGAAAATATACTGGTTTTTAATGAGCCCAAAGCATTTCCAGTTTCATCTGTATTCCGTTCGTTTGACTTGCTACGAGTATGGACCGCAATTCTCCAAACGATCCAGTCATGCGTTCGTGTCTGACGCTACTTATGAGACCAATCAGTGACCCACTTCTGAAGATCGAAGCGTAAATTGCTGGCTGTTACGTATTACAGTCAGAGTTTGTAATCCCGAGGGACTTCCTTCTCTAACGACCCTCTGAGGAGGTTCGTTTCTGTAATTTAATAAGTAACGATCGATTAATTGTACTTATTTCACCGGAAATGTAATAATAAGTATATCAAGAAGGGACGTAGAATAATGTGCATTAATCTGTATTGATCTGCAATTGATCGACTGGTCATATATGTACTTGGATGTAAGCTTCTGCAATGTAAGCTTCTTTTGTATAACAACTAATGCAAACTTGAATATTGTATAACAAAGTGTGGTCCATTGTATGAAAAAAGATATGTAAATTTGAAAATTATTTAATTCCTAAATTCTCTTAAATTTCTAAATTCTAAAGATTCTTATTTAGGATAACGTGAATTACGTGAATTTAACATAGGTTAATGAACGAGAACAATATATATTTTAATAAAACAATAACAAAACGATAACATATAACAATTAATATTCTTAACCATAACATGAACAAAAACTATGATTATAAAAGCGCAATGTGTCTTCTACGAAAGTCAGCTACCTTCTGCTGGATTTTCCAAACTCCCCCTGTCCGTTGGAAAAATACACATGGCATAGAAACCCGAACAGACAAAACAAGGGGTTACATGCAAAATATTAGAACAAGCCTGGGTCCTCAAGGATCTCAAGAACTTTCCAACTATAATTCTTACTTAATTCAACTTGAATTCTTAAATTGAATTTTTCAATTCTAAAAACTCTTAAAATCTTAAACTGAATTTTTATCTTCTGAAAATTCTTCAATTCTTCAATTCTTCAATCCCTCAATTCTTCAATCCCTCAATTCTTCAATTCTTCAATTCTTCAATTCTTCAATTCTTCAATCCCTCAATTCTTCAATTCTTCAATTCTTCAATCCCTCAATTCTTCAATCCCTCAATTCTTCAATTCTTCAATTCTTCAATCCCTCAATTCTTCAATCCCTCAATTCTTCAATTCTTCAATTCTTCAATCCCTCAATTCTTCAATCCCTCAATTCTTCAATTCTTCAATTCTTCAATCCCTCAATTCTTCAATCCCTCAATTCTTCAATTCTTCAATTCTTCAATCCCTCAATTCTTCAATCCCTCAATTCTTCAATTCTTCAATTCTTCAATCCCTCAATTCTTCAATCCCTCAATTCTTCAATTCTTCAATTCTTCAATTCTTCAATTCTTCAATTCTTCAATTCTTCAATTCTTCAATTCTTCAATTCTTCAATTCTTCAATTCTTCAATTCTTCAATTCTTCAATTCTTCAATTCTTCAATTCTTCAATTCTTCAATTCTTCAATTCTTCAATTCTTCAATTCTTCAATTCTTCAATTCTTCAATTCTTCAATTCTTCAATTCTTCAATTCTTCAATTCTTCAATTCTTCAATTCTTCAATTCTTCAATTCTTCAATTCTTCAATTCTTCAATTCTTCAATTCTTCAATTCTTCAATTCTTCAATTCTTCAATTCTTCAATTCTTCAATTCTTCAATTCTTCAATTCTTCAATTCTTCAATTCTTCAATTCTTCAATTCTTCAATTCTTCAATTCTTCAATTCTTCAATTCTTCAATTCTTCAATTCTTCAATTCTTCAATTCTTCAATTCTTCAATTCTTCAATTCTTCAATTCTTCAATTCTTCAATTCTTCAATTCTTCAATTCTTCAATTCTTCAATTCTTCAATTCTTCAATTCTTCAATTCTTCAATTCTTCAATTCTTCAATTCTTCAATTCTTCAATTCTTCAATTCTTCAATTCTTCAATTCTTCAATTCTTCAATTCTTCAATTCTTCAATTCTTCAATTCTTCAATTCTTCAATTCTTCAATTCTTCAATTCTTCAATTCTTCAATTCTTCAATTCTTCAATTCTTCAATTCTTCAATTCTTCAATTCTTCAATTCTTCAATTCTTCAATTCTTTAGTTTTTCAATTCTTCAATTAAATTTTTAAATTCATAATTTTCGAATTTTCAAATACTTAAACTTCGTACTTTAAAAAGTTTTAATATTTCTCACTTTAACTTCCAAAATTTTCAAATGATCAAATTCTTAAACCAAATGTTCAAATTGTATAATTATGAACTTCCCAATTTCTGAATATTTCGTGATTTCCAAATTCTGTAATACTTTCAATATTATATTATAAAATAAAAAAGAAATAAAAACAACTCATTCTTAAAGCTTTGAAACCAAATCAATTTTTGTCAAATCAAATTAATCAAATTGCTCAAATCATTCAAATTAATTTAGCAATATAAGTTTTTATTACTACATAATATTTAATTAATATTATAATTCAAGATGATTGATCGACTAAGATCTTATTTAATTTCCAGTGAAAATATGCTGCAATTGCTAACATTATCAGACGTTAAAGTTAATGTTTCTTAGAGCACAATTAATAAAATCGTAACAAGCATTGTATGAAACCGCAACATGTACAAAGATTTGCTGTAATTCGTTAATAGTGCTAATGTATATTTATTAAGGCACTAAGTATAATGATCAATCTCCAGGTTTACGAAGACATATATTGCGTAGTTTTGCTTTGTAGCGAGTACGCGTTGCATACAAAGTCCCGCGCCATTTCGAAACCATCCCATTTACACACAGGGAACATTAACTCGTTTAGTTTCCACGAGCGGCTTCACTTGCCAAGAATTTAATTACCCTTAAATAAAATTCTTTTGTAAAAGCTTTCTGCTCCTAACAACAAAGGTGACGAGAAAAGCGAGGAGGAAGCAAATTACATTTTCATATCAATATTATTAAATGCGAGTTGATTAAAGGTTCGCGCGTGCAAACGATTTTCAATTTATTAACGTTCAGAGTAATTCTGGTTCTATTTGAAAAAGAAAATAAGATAAATGATGAAAAGGGACACAATGACCTTGAGATATATTATGGAGGTCATGTTCCTGAATAATTTTTCCTTATAATTTATTCGTCGCTCATTGTTCATTAAAAGGCTATTAATAATTATTATTTTTATTGCTGTAGTACTTTCTAAAAAATTATTAACAGTACTATTTTTATCATTATAGTATAGTGCTCTAAGAAAAAGTGCGATGATTTAAGCTTATCCGAATATAACAAAGTATAATCGAAAAGTACATACTAAATTTTTCAACGCGAAAGTTCAAAGACTTGATATTTTGCGAATATGATAAGATCCATTTTCGAAACAAAATAAAAAAGTTCCAATTGAAATTTTCTTACAATGTTATTCGTCTTTTTATGCCCGACTGTGGCAAGGGCGACTAAATGTCACCCTTCGGAATTGGAAGCTGGTAAAATTTGAATAACAACATTCGCGAACTTATTCGACGGTGTGAGGCGCCTTGGGGAGCAATGGATATTTGTGGTAACAGATACGTCATATTTTCATGGAGTTCTAAGAAACATTTCAACATGTCGCTGACTTCCCCTCATGTATCTTGCGCCACCTGAACTTGAATGTCGCTGTTTCAAGGACCTTCGCAATATTTCGCAATAATTCATTTTCAGCCAAGCTTCTTTCATACGGAAAATTCAATAGTAGATAAGCAGTAATTTAATTTTTTTATTTTTGAGGTTTTTTAAAATTTGTTGTAATAATAATTTTTAGTTTGCTATATAAGAGCAGAAAGGGAGGGACAAAATAGTAAAAGTAAGATACCTGTTTGATAAATAATTCGATAGGAACGTCAATCGTACACATGCATTATGAGTACACTTATTTTTTCCAGGCTCTAAGTGCTTTGAGTTATCAATTAAATTGGATATTATACTTGTATGTAATATATAACTTATATTTTGCTTAGATGTAACGCTTCTAAGTACTAAGAACGTCTAAGTACTCGCTTGATAAATGCCCGCTCGATAAATACTTGATAGCAGTGCGTCATGCATCACTAACACTATTACTAACTTTTATACAGGGTTCATGTACTACAAGTTATAATCAATTAACTTGCATACTATATTTTTATATTATATTTATATTTATATTTATATTATATTTAATATCACATGTAATTATAAAATAAATCAAAACGCTAATTCTAATATAATTTAAAACTTATAATTTTAAACACTTTTTTAACAAACACGACACAGAAAACTATTACTTTCACACTGTCGCATTTATTATACGGTTTACTCCTTGCCATAACTCATTGTCAGTATAATCTCAAACAATTAATAATAACTCAAGTCTTTCTCGAAATCGCAATATGCAAATATACACACATTTATATTCAATTAAATACTGATACTTTATATATTCTACAATACTGCAAAGATATTGTGGAAAAATAAAATAAAACAGTAAACAGATTAAATTGAAAGTATAATTGATACAAGGTGTAAAGCATAGTTTGATGACATAAATCTTTAAAGATGTGTAATTTTTTCTTCAATTAAATAATAAATTATGGCATAACCTGACAAGAGATGGCACTACACGAAAAAGTAAGTCTAAAGCACAGAATCAAATTTTATTTATCACAAACATTTTTCTCTGAAGTAGAACAACGGTCGTAACAGACATTAGCAATTAATTTCCGTTTCTATTCTTACTGGACATTTTCTTAATAAAATTATGTAGCTTTTAATCAAAGGTGTCTACTCATCACGCTATACTTTAGATTCAAAAGTTCTTATATTAAGTCCAGATTCGACACTTAACGCGAAATCAACATGCACCTATAATTTTAAACTGCAAATAAAATTGAAAAGTACATAAATCAAGAATGAAAGGTAAAAGAGTATACATTCCTTAAACATGAGCCAAATAATTTAAGGATATTTTCGTCTGTTTCAAGAAATTAATATAAACACAATTCTGTGATATTAGATTGAGAATTTGGTATTTTTGTGTTTGTCTTCGATGGTTTTAGTATTAAAATCATTCGATTCTTGATTGTTATTTGTTGGCATAAAAGCAGGAAAGGGTAAAGAGTGTATTTCTGTAGTCTGCCTGCTTAAATAAACCCAGTATGCAGATCCAGTGGGTGATTTGCTTCACTGTAGCGGGGTTTTCACTAAGGATCTGGAGGTATGGTTCGACCACTGGACTCACGAAGTTCACCACCCTCATGCAAAGCACATTCTGTCGCTTGAGTGCCGTAATTGAAGATACTACGTCGTAGGAGATGTTGACGTGGTTTCCTGTTAAATAACCACCTCAAACAATATATATTTCGAACGCAGGAAAGGATTGCACTGTTTAGACCGGGGAATTCTCCATGAACGGGTTGTAAACGAAATAAATTAACTAACATAGATCGAACGAAACCAATTATTATATATACAATCAGACGGACATTTTTAATAAAATCATAAACACTCTATTAACATTTTATATTGTTTATATGTACAGATGTCAATCCTCCAGTTGGCGCTTGAGGAGGTCGACTTAAAGTTAAAGAAGCTACGGCTGTTACCAGCGTGAATTCCACGTTACATTTCGGTAAGTAGGAATAATAATAACAATAACAACTGCATCACATAATTCGTACTATCTCACTCACTCTTAAGACATTTGCCGACTGATTTTTGACCTAACTGGTAACTGCTCAAGCCAGTTGTACTACAGCCGAAAATACGCGTAAGTCTAGGCGTCCATTTTTCTATTCTGACCAATGGGAGGCGTAGCTCTTCTAAATACGTCAATCTCTTCGCACGACAACTCATGGGTTACTATCGGTATACATTACTATCGGTAAACACGGTATACATTGCATTTTTTAGCACGTTTCACATTGCACTAATTGTAAGTCAGAAAATCTGAAACAGGAGGAGTAGATAAAATTTAACTGATTACTATCCTCTACCAAATACTATAATAACAAATACATATACACGTTAGTCTATGCTTAGAGTACCAATAATAATAGTGTGCTACTTTTTGTTCTAAATCGTATTCTATGCGCAATATGGGGGTGAGGCAAATAATATCTGCATAATTTCGATTTCTATGGATTTCTTTAAAAATAATTTGCATTTCCTACTCCTTAGAAAATCTGCAAAGGAGAGAAAATATTATTTTAACTAATTATACTTTCGCTTGCTAAGAACTATGATAAATAGAAAAATAAAGACACTTTATATTAATAATACCAGCAGTGATAATAACAATAACAGTACTAATAACAATAGATAGTGTGCTATTTTCCGTTTCAAACCGTATTCCGCGCACAATATGAAAGTGCTTCAAGCGATATCAGAAACAATGGTATAACTTTTATTTTGTCATATTTAATACTTTTATTCTACGATAGTCCGGATGGCCTAAGTGATTGAAAGGGTCAAACAGTGATTGAGGATACACTTTCATGTAAATGGAAACAATCGCAATATCCAGCAGCAGAACGAGAAATGTTTCCAATTTCCATGGTCTGGAGTGCAATTGTCTGCGTAACAGTTGATAGCTACAGGTAGTTTTATTGATGCAGCATGTATCATTTTTATTGGCAGGTAATCACTTTTGCGTTATTGATCGAAGATATATCTGTTGTTGTTACAAACTTGTCGCTTTTAATGCATGACCACAGAAGAAGAATTATAAAACGTTTACTACGTCCCGGCACAGGCGATTCATTCCCTCGAATTTTCAGTTATGAACACATACTGGCCGTCGTTTGCATGAATATACATATGTACTATGAGTAATTTGTGGCGATAACGATACTACGACCTTCCAACACCTGGCGATGAACTGTTTCCAGTTATCAATCCGTAAACCGTATTATCTGGAATGATAAAGGGGACAGAACGAATTGCAACTGGAAAATTTCGTTAGTCCCGCTGCTGTCGTCGTTTATTTTTCAATTTCAGGCGTTAAACGTGTCAGCATGGGTGAGAATGAACTCTATGCTATCAAGCAAAATATAGTGCCACGATTTAGAAAGTAATTTCGCCTGCAATGCTCTGCAATGCAGCTATGGAAAAGTTTTATTAGAAAATTCGATTTTCAAAGTCTTTCAACTGCTTATAATACTTTTAACTAATTAGTAAAAAATTCTAAAACTTCGAAGTAAAATATTCTTCGGTAATCTGCAGGAATGTACTTAATTAAAAGTTGTTGTATTATATTAATTGTAACAAATATTTTACTTTCTGTCAGATTATTTTGATTAAACTGTTGTGACAAATACGTTATTCATAGATGTGTTAAAAATGGTAGTGTGATAATTTTGAACGAAAATGAAAACAGAATTTAGTTTATTTTAAACTACGTAAGGGAAAGTATAATCGATTCACCAGCAAACAATGTTCAAGAGTAAATTGAACCATCAATCAGAAATTAGACGTTTAACGAGGATCTTTAATAGAATCGCGAGAAATAAGAGTGTTCGAGGTCTTCTTATGAAACTTGAATTTACTTCTTCTTGATTCATTCCCTGAACACAAATCATACCTTTAATAGAAATTTAAATGGTTCGATAATATAAGCGTTCGTTTAATGTGCTTGAACGTTGGACGTGGCGCTCTGATGTGAATAATAGCAATGAAACTTCTGTAATGAGATGTAAACTTTCCCTCGGTGTTCATTGTTATTTTCTTTTGTGAAGAAAGCGGATTGTAATCGTTCTTAGGGAAATGGAATATTTATTTCATAATTTACATTTGTTGTGGAGAAAAAACGTGTTGAAATTTTTTTTTTAAATAGTGGGCTATAGTCGCATCAATTACCCAGGTTATTAGCGACTGTTAACCAGTTTATGAAGATAAGGTTATGGTCGGAAGTGGATGGTTTGACATAACTTTTTCATAGTTGGGTGAGGATTCCTATAGTTTTACAAAATTTTAGTAATTTGACTTGATACGCTGTTGATGTATAAATATAGAAAAACTTTCTATTGTATACATTTTATTTTTTCTATATTATAAACAGATTTCAAAACTGTCTTCAATCATTTGATTCTTAAATTTTGAGTTATAATATTTTATAATTGTATCGTTGGTAGCTAAAAATAATAACGAATAATAACAAAATATGAATAATAATAAGTATGAAATAATAATACTAAAAAAAATTAAACATTGTAAATATAAAAAGTGGATGTATATTAAGCCCCAACATTGATGCTGATTGCGCGTAGCCACGGCACTGACTTGGCGAGGAGAGCGAGCTATGGCCGCCTGGCGGCAAAACACCGCGCACGTGCTCCTGACAGATATTTTTTCAATTTTCTGGAATTGCATACAGCTACAACATTTACCCCACATAGTTTTTTCATCAGAAATATCTATAGAATTCGATACTGTATAGCGAATTCGCGTTACATAAATAACTTTTTCTAAAAATGCAAAAATAATACATAGGAAATGCGTACAACGGCCGTTTTTTAAACTTTCATCAATATTTACACCTATTTAGAATTATGCAATATAACAACTATATATACCAATTTATTCGGGACACTCTCCTCTATCTTTTAAAATTAATTTGAATGTCCTAGTTTTTTTAGTTTCCTCGCAATATCGCATTTTCTACCCAAAACACGTGTTTTTACAAAAGCTCGTGTTTTTCAAAAACTGAGGGTGAGAGAGCAATTCGGTTTTCGTATTCTTGTTCAGGATGAGAAACTCTACAAGGATCACCGAATGGGTATTAGAAAACAAAATTTGTGTTGAACAATGTTATTGATGTCCGCAGAGGTGTTTAATACCGGCTGGTTTTCTGTGATTGTATTCGCTGCAATTTTTGCCTGAAGGTCGGCCATGGTGTTTCCGTAGATATCCATGTGGGAAGAAACCTACGCTATGATTGCAGTTTTGTTGTCTTTGGTTAGTTTGTCATATTTTTCCTGAATTTCTAAGTGCATTTAACTTGGACTGAGGAGATCTGTTGACAAGGTTAAGAGATAGGATTGCGTACGTTTCGGCTGTATGGATACTACTGTAGGGGTGTTTGAAATTTTAAAATTAAGAAAGTTTGATAATTTAAAAAAATGTAGAGGGTGTTCGAAAAGAATGTTATACTTTAACTAAATGTGACACACATATTTAAGATTAATTACAGGTATATATTTAAATTATATTATTTGTTTACAAATATACTTACAGATTTAATAGAATAAATTAACAAGGGATAGTGAATTATTGATTAGATTAGATATTTTTGTAGGTTGTTTATACATTCTAGATGTCAAGAATTCTTCAAATTCCCATGCTACTGTCTCCCTTCCGTAAAGGAGAGAAATTCTTTCTTCACGTAAAAAAAGAAAAGGGTACATAGTAAAATTTTCATACGAAAAGTAAAACGCCTGTAAAAGTTTTTCATTACTAAAACAATGTGCGTGGAATTTTGTCTCAATTCTCGTTCATAAACACTACACCAAAATGTTTCATTATTGCCTACCAGTTCATCAAATAGAGAAAATTTAGGAAATGAGCCTTTTAATTAGTGTGGGAAACTATTTGACAGCAATATACTATCATAAAGTACAAACTAATTGAATTAATTATGTCGTAATGTTCGGTTCGCAACAGTATTCAAACTAGAACTATAACTATCTGACTTCATCGGGTACCTTTAGTACTAGGAAGGTCACTAGACAAATAAAGGACTGGGATTGTTTCACGTGAATATCTGTAATACAGAAAGCCGTAATATTAATGTGAACATTGAGAGTAACGTAAAAAATTCTCATTAATATAATATGATCCAGCTTTTTGTATATTTGTGACGTATCAATTGAAAATTAAAACTTTCATTTCTAAATTTCTTATTTAATAATTTCACAAATTGATTTTTTACATTTTTCTGATTACAATGAGACTCAACACAATATAATTTGGACTATATTTACGCAAAGAAGAATAACGGGCGAAAAAGATGCTGTGATTGCGGCAGTCGGCAAAAATCAAACCTGTTGTATTGTTTGCAATGCTACTGGGTTGATAACCTCTGTATTTTCGGTCCTTTTTTTCATACAACCTTTTCTATCATATTTCTGACATTTTCCTGATTAAAATGAGACCAAACACGACGTAATTTGAGGTATATTTACTTGTAATAACTTATGGAAGTAAAATCCTCGAAGTCACAAAGTGATGTAGAAGATTATAATTTCGACTATCATATATGTCACGTGATTATCCAAATAGCACCGAAAAACAACGAAATTACCCGACACGTCATTATTCGTTCGTTTACCGCGAATCTTACTACGGTAAGCCTGTATATAACCAAAACGTTTGAACTTAAAAAGGAATATATTCTGAATTGCGTTATGCATTAAAAATAAATAATTAAACACGTTTCAATTCCTATTTCTTTATGTTTTGGTGCTTTGTACTGACATTTCGGGCGTGGTTGCGCGATTTCGGCGAAACGAGTCTACGTGTTAACCGGACGGTGAGTCTCGCCATATTTATATCAAGGAATTACGTTGGAGGCTACAGTAAACTAATAAATTTATATCATTTAATCGTATCACGTGTTTCATTTTCACGTCGTTCACACCCTTATGGCCTAACATCATATTTGGTTTCATTGTAGTCAGAATAACGTCACAAATATATTGGTAAAAGTTTCATAACGGAAAATTAAAAATAGAAATATTTTATCCGTGTATTATGATTGTCTCACCGATATGTTATTATTTATCTAAATTTGCTCTAGACGTTTCCATTGTTTGCTACTTTTCTACTGTTCGGCAAACTTCGATCAATGTCGGAACTACAGAATATGAACGAAAGTTTAGACTCGAGAGATTCGCTTATATAATATTATAGCTTTACCGTACTCGGGTATGTTCAGTAGTTTGGATAATTTATATTATTACGTGAAACAATAAAATAGTATACTACACCATAAATTAAAATAGTACTCACAATATTTTTCGCGAGTATTCTGATCCTTTTCTTTCGGAGATGTATTGAGAAAAATGAAACCACCTAGCTACAGAATTATTGTGGCTCAGGAGATTTTTCGCCAAAATGGAACTAAGATTTGAGTCCCGATGGGAATTCTAGGATCGTCTTGTCTCAAGGATATGGTATTGACAGAAAACAATCAACTCAGCACGTTGAGAATGGATCATGAAGTCTCTTGTGGTTTTGCTGAAAGAAGGTTAAAAAGGTACATAAGATCGTATTTCTCTTCTTGACATTTTCGACAGCACTGAATTGATGTAATAAATTTTTTTCCGGTTCCAAAGTAAAAACGAATTTCGTTCAATAATATAACATTTTCAGTTACACTGTGAACTCAATAATTTAATAATAATTTTTTAAATATATAATTTGAATACTCATATCATCTTATTTGTCTAGATGTTATTCCGAAGAGAAAAAGAGAAAGATGATTTTTCTTCAGACTATTTCAAAATTTGGTTATGAAATGATATAATTTTTTATCTGCACAATTTGTATTTGGACAAATTTTTATTCACATAATTTGTCAAATACTTTTTAATTCTATGGTATACGAGGTGCGACACAAAAGTAACGAGACTAGTCCAATAAATCATTGTACCTGCAGAATCAGTTCTCTGTGACATTATCACCTTCAAAGTAGTCCCCTTCAGCATTCACACACTTTTGCATTCGGTGCTGCCATTGCTGGTAACAGTTCTGGAACGAGGTTTTTGGAAGTCTCTTCAGGAGATTCTCCGTTTCTGCCTGAACCTCTTTAACTGAGGTGAAATGGGTTCCCATTAAGCAAAATTTAACTTTAGGAAATAAAAAGAAATCGCATGGAGCCAAATCAGGTAAATAAGAAGGATGCCCCATCACAGTAATATTTTTGCTGGTCAGAAACTACTTGACAGACAATGCCGTGTGAGCGGGTGCATCGTCCTGGTGCAACAGCCATCCATCGCTTCACAACTGTGGCCTTTTTTTCCTCATTTTTTCACGAAGTCTTTTTAGTATTTCAATGTAATAGTGTTAGTTAACAGTTTGACCACTTATGTATTACAAAAGAGTTCAACAAATTTTACAAGAAACTTGATGTTTATTCGCA